TAGGGTTTCGGGTCTTCGGGTTTACGGGGTTTTGGGTTCAGGGTCTTAGGGTTCAGGGTTAGGGTCTTAGGGTTTCGGGTCTTAGGGTTCAGGGTTCAGGGTTTAGGGTTGAGGGCTTAGGGTGCAAGGTTTAGGGTTTAGGTCTTAGGGTGTCGGGTCGTAGGACTTAGGTACTTACTGTTTGTACATATGGATCCTCTAAACGGTTCTACAGGGGGTCTAAGTTTAGGAAGTAGAGCTTAGGTGTATTGAGATGACCTTCAAAACCCATCTCCAGAGAGACTTTGAGATCGCACTGGACGGCTTAAGATCCTCAACGGGTGAGACCGGGACTTTCCGAAGCTTACGGCAACGGGTCGTATGCGATAGATAGTATCACGACAGGCATTAGGGGTTTAGGGTGTAGATGTGTTTACGGGTTTGGGGTTTACATCGGTGCTTATGGCCAGTGCGAGCACGGTACGTCCCCGATAAGCTCTGCACATCTTGCTCCACCTTGGCGGAAAACATGGCTCCGGAAACTAACTGTGTCCTGCGAAGCTGCATCAACGCAGCACATTGCACACAGTGGCTACTAGTAACCCCCTTTTAGGTCTCCTATACCATTCCTTGTGGTACCCATACAGGTTCCTTGTAGGATCAGTAAGCATACCTTCTGCCATCAAAGCATAAACGCGAATGCAAGTTGCATTCCTCAGGTTCCTTATTGTAGTTAGACTAGAATTTACCCCACAACCCTATTCTCAGTAGTACGGCCCCTACAGTATTCTGGTGGGGCTTGTTCGCCTCTTCATCATGTTCTTCGTTTTGATGATTGCCAACATCCTTTTTGATGTCGCCACTGTTCTCAGCGACCTAACTGTTACTTGTCTTGGTTTGTTCTTAGAGCAACTGCTACTGCTAAACTTGTCTTTCTGCTGCAGGGACGGTGCCGACTACTACTGAAAATTGGTTCTCCTGCCAATGCCACCAGTTCAGCAACTACCACAGTTGCTTCTACTGACCATACACATGCTGACTCCAGTTCACATTTATGACTAGGATGGCCACGACGAGGACAAGTGCCAGTGCTTCCTGGCCTTCTGCTACAATTTCTTCTCGACTCGCACTGTCAGTTTTGGCAAGATGAAGGCTGACGGATCCATCAGTGTTTCTCACTCTGTGTTGTCGCTAACCTAAACCCTACACGCCCTAAACCCGAAGCTTGTCAAGATTGGCTTCACAACTATGTGGAACTCTTGAAGCGAAAACGGTTGCACTGTCTATCTGCCTGAAAAACCCAACAGTCAAACCCTAAACCTTAAACAATGGCTTTCTCGAACCGGCATATTGCCGCCGTTCCCAGATTTCGAAAACGGCGTGCTCACACGGCCAGGCGCTCCGCTATGTACCTGCGACCGAAACCCTGGGCCGTGACCCTTGTTCGAGAATCTCGCCCCTTCTTGTGACTCTACTGAAACCATGCTCGTTCCCCTAGGCCCTAAGCCCTACAACTAGGTTGCGGGCGCGTTTGCCGCCGCGAAGGGCGCGTCGCTCTTTTTTGACTATCTTTGACAAAAAATCTGCAGTGTGGTATTCGTGAATGAAACGTGCTTTTTGCTGTTTGGATTTTCCTGGTTCTTTGTCTGTTTGAAGCTGTTGTTGCGGATTTGTGGCACAAATCGCGGTTTTCATGGCTTTTTTTTGGTTGATTTCTGGGTTGTTTTTTAAAGTTGTTGTTTTGTGTCCGTGCAAACCGTGTCACATAGCACATAACAACAGCAGGAGGATGCAGCAACATTGTCAGCCTGGCTGGTATTATCATGTCATTGTCCTGGTCATTCTCATTGTTATCCTCCTCCTCATCATCATCATGATCATCATCCTGAACAGCAGGAAGATCATTATCAACAGGAACATCTGTCAATCATCCTCGGGAGCAGCATGAAGATGTTTATCCAGCCCCCCACGAAAGCAAACGAAAACAAGAAGAACAACATAAGTGAATATCACAAGCCGCACCACCATGGACGTTAACATCCCCCCCATCCCACCTCTGCCCCCCTGCCACAGCAAACGTAAAAAATAAGAAAAACATAACCGAATATCACAAGCCGCATCGCCATGGACGTGAACATCCCCCCATCCCCCTCCCCACCCCCCCACATAGCCAAACGAAAAAAAAGAAGAACAGTTACAAGCGAACATCACAAGCCGCATCGCCATGGACATAACATCCCCCCCATCCCCCCAAGAAACCAAAAAGAGAAAGAGAAACGAGAAGGCACACAAAGCCACAGAAGCAAAGCAGCCGAGTTGCAAGCCAAAGTGGAAACGAAGAAGGTACAGAACACCGGACATTGCCATAGAAAAGACGTGCGAATGCGCAAAAACCTCGGTTTTTCTGGGAAAGCACTGTAGAGACCGATGCGAAACCCGAATCGCAGATTTTTCGCCCGATCTGCAACGTGCCAAAACTCGAGTTCTGGCACATTGAAGTTCCGAAATCGACACACCCTTCGCGGCGGCACAGGCGCCACAGGCCTACAACTACAACTCGAACGCGTGCAGACTGTGCAACCCCTCCGACAAGCTTCCGAAACTGTTCTTAAAGTTCTCTAGATATGGGGCGTTCTTCCAAGAAGTCATGTAATGTATAAACTCGACTTCACATCTTGAAGACAAGTCCGAAACTAGCAAATGCTCATCATCGAATGCTGATGTTTTGAGGTTCTGGGCTCCAGGGTTTAGCCATGGTTTTGTCTTTTTGAAGGTGGGCTTCAAGGTCTGTATGCCTCCTGCATTGCTTCATGGGTTCGGTTTATCTTGGTTTCTTGGCTTCCGATGCACTCAGGCTAAGTTCTCGAATCCATACCGGGAAGGAATCCCACTTGGGCGTCGGGCTCATGTTCTTCGCAATCATTGCCTCGTAAGCATCCATAGAATCATGAGCGCTCACCGGAATCCCCATTGCTGCTCCTCCTACTAATACTGCTACCACTACTACTACTGGACCACCACCACCACCACTACCACGACGACGACGACTACTACTACTGCGACGACCAACTACTACGACTACTACAACGACTACTACTACCACTACTACTACTACTACTACTACTACTGCTACTACTGCTATTACTGCTACTACCACAACTACTACGACAAGTACTACTACGACAACAGCAACTACTACTACGACTACGACTACGACCACGCCTACGACTAAGACTAAGACTACGACTACGACTACGACTACGACTACGACTACGACAACGACTACGACTACGACTACGACTACTACTACTACTACTACTACTACTACTACTCACTACCACTGCTACTACTGCTACGACCAGTAAGGTTACCAGTAGCACTGCCAGTAACACTACCAATGCCACTACCACTACCAGGCTGCTACGACTAGCCAGTTTACTATTGTCTTCATAGCTTCTTTTCTTGACACGTAGGACGACTTTGCCTGCAATCTGACTGCCAACTTCCTACACCCTGGACCGCATGGACCCTAAACCCTAAACCCAACCCAACAAGCACCTGTTGTGTGAAGTGGTCACACAGCAGCAGACAATGAACTTTCGGAAACCCCAGTATGCTCGTCCAAAGGGCCTCTTCCGTTCTGCCTCAATTTCCGCCCGCATCTCGTCGAGCGAAAGATCTCGATATCCTTGGTGCTGTGGCGGCGATGCAGTCTTTATCCTCTGTTGTGACCTGTTGTGGTCGTTGTTGGAGGCCACCAAATCAAAGTGCGGACCCGCATCTGAAATCTTTTGGAATCTGCATGCAATCTAGTCGGCGGACGATGTATACGCATCATCTGTGATGCTACAGATCACTTCCTAAGCATAAGGGCTACCCTGCTCAGGCCTTACATCCTAAAACCCCCCCGTCCCAACACCAAACCACGGAAACATTCGGTTGGTTCAAAACCAATCAATTGCCAAACAAACCAAAGGAGGAATACGAGCCCAAACCCTCAACCCTAAGCCCCTAAACCCTTCATTGAGTGATACTAAACTCGAAAGAAACTGAACAGTCTCATTTAACAAGGTTTGTGCTAGGCCTGCTAGGCCAACCCATCTTAACCTTCGATCTGCCGAGCGTCCTACAGCTGCTGGTCCTGGATTCGTTCGCACCTGCACCTATACTGAACTTGGTACCCTTGCAAAAACTTGTAACTTTATTAGCTGTCTCTTAAGGATGATAGTAACCAGAAATCAAAATAAACGCCGTTTCCGAGTGCTCTTCAGGCACAACGTCAGCTGGGTCAGTCTTGGCCTGCGCTTCTTGCTTGCCACGTTGAAGGTCACCTTCTTGTTGGGTCGGGGGACTTAGTAGGTACATACTTTATAGAGTTATAAGTATCATAACCCGTTTCAGCACGGACTGAGGTGCCGGCCAGCGCTAAATCCTGAACCCTAAACCCTAAAACCCTAAACCCTAAACCCAGTTCGGATCCCTAGTAGGGTACTTATAAGTCGCCTTATTACCCACGTTGAAGGTCACCTTGGCAAGGCCCGGCTCCTCTTGAGGTTCGTGGGTTTTAGGGTTTAGGGTTCTAGGGGCCCCAATACTTAGAATAGGGTTTGGGGGGAAAATATGCTATAATTATAATAAGGAACCCCCAAAACCCTATTCTAATCAGTAAGGCCCCTACATTAGTTAGAAGTAGGGTCCCTTCAGCGGTTCTATATGGTTTAGAGTGTAAGGTTTAGGTCTTAGGGTAGTTAGAAGTAGGGTTATGTGTCCCCTAATATGGGCTATGAATATAGTTACCCTACTTGTAGCCCTACGTATAACTACCCGTGAACCTCCCAGTGTCTCATGAAGAAACCGATCAACGTCTGATTTGTCCAGTATGCCAGAGGAATAAACAGTTAGCCTTTGGAAAGATAGGCTCTATCGCACCCCAAAAAGGCTAAAGTAAACCGATTAAGCCTAAACCTCAAAAAAGCTAGTTGCTCCACTACTAAGACGTCAACACAGAGGCGTTCAGGCAATCAGAAGTTTGACTTAGGTGCAACCCTAAACCCTACTTTGCTCTTTAGCACGCAATTGGGGGAGCTATTTGCAACCGAGGCTCTGATCCTGGACTGCAGGGACTGGACGCTGCTGGATCGCTTTGGCAAGCGCCGGCCGTCGACGCTTCGTGCCCGGTTACTGACACGGCTGGCTCGGCTGACGTGACTGATGCGGCTGATGCGGCTGGCAGCACTGACGCGACTTGCGCGGCTGACGTTACTGGCATTGCTGGCGCGGCTGCTGGCGCGGCTGCTAGCTCTGCTTGGCCGACCGCCCTGGCTGCTGGCCCTACTGAGGGACCGACCCCGACTGTGGTGGCTCTCTGAACGGCCGAGGCGTGGGGTTTCGCCGGAGCGGCCGCGGGTCTCAAGCGGGGGCAGGGTCTGAGGACGCCTCGGTGTGCCAGCGGGAGAGTGCAGTGATCGTAGCTCAGCTTGAGCAGCTGGCTGCCCATTTGGAACTCGCGGCTTGATCTGCGGTGGGCTACTGGGCAGGTCTTCCATCGCCAAACGCAGGATATTCCTCAGAACGCTGTGTCGTCTTTGCAGGTCCACCAGCTGGTCCAGTGCCGCTTCACCAGGCAAAGCCTCCAACTGCGGAAGCAACGCCACAGCAGAACTGACCTTCAGCTCTGTCATCTTCCTTACATGTCAATCTAGCGTAGCATGCAAGAAGATGTGAACCCAAAGCTCTGACCGACTGCAAACTCACGACACGTACTCCCAAAAACTGACAAGGGTCAGCTCCTGCACCAAGGATGCGAAGTCACGCATCAGGGCATCCACAGTGAGGAGCAGGGTGTTGCTCTCGTCCTCATCGTCTTGGTACTTAAGGATCATGGGACTTAGTAAGTAGGGTTATAACTAAGGTACAACCCTAAACCCTAAACCCTGAACCGTCCTCATCGTCTTGGTACTCCAACATGGCCTGCTGCGTCGCGGTGTGCACTGCCTGCCTCAGCTGCCACACCCTCAGGTTTAGGGTTTAGGGTTTAGGGCTTAGGGTTTAGGGCTTAGGGTTTAGGGCTTAGGGTTTAGCGTTTAGGGTTTAGGGGCTCCCAACCCTAAACCCTGCGCTGTGAAGGTCAGGTGACCCTTTGTTGCAATGTTGCATGAGGAAGGCTGAAAACCCCAAGCCATGGAACCCTGTAGTAGTGGTCGTCGTCGTGGTGGGCAACACAATGGCATGCCAATCTTGCAGTCTCTCCTTTTTCTGCCGCTACGGGGGATTATTGAAGTGGTGGGGATACCCTAAACCCCCAAACCGGAAGCTAAACCAACAGCCGAGCTGCTGATGAATCTGTGCTCGCGACCGGATGGCCAGAAACGCAGAGGGTGGGCCTTTCGACAGAAAGGTTGTTTAGGCTGTCAAGCTGTCACCACTAGTATTCTCACAACTATATGGGTAGTTGTCTAAATTAGGGTCCATGTTCCAGTCCTGTTTATAAGGGTGCCGCACTATGTTGGGGACCTAAAAAGGGACCAAAATTTAGAGAACTACCCATATTGGAAGGATGTCTTAAATAAAGGGCAACCCCCCGAAGTTGCCTTACCCTGCCACCCTAAACCCTATTGCACAAGCTTCAGTGTCCGGGGCTTCGGGACATTCGGCGTGTCCATCACCCCAGTAAGGCCTAGAAGCCGAAGAAAACGCGAACATCTGCAAACGCATACCTAGGAAACCTACTTGGAGTTTTAGGGTTTGGGGGTTGGGTTTAGGGTTTTGGGGTTTTAGGGTTTAGGGTCTGCTTGGAGGCCCAGGGGACTTGCAAGTCGGTTATAAGGGTTAGGTTTAGGGTTTAGGGTTTAGGGTTTAGGGTTTAGGGTTTAGGGTTGTTATAGTTGAAGTAACTCCAGTTACTTGGAGGCCCCGTTGACTTCGTAAGTAGGTTATAAGTAGAGTTATAAGTACCCTAACTGGAGTTACCCCAAGTATAACCCTACTTATAACCGAAAAACTAAGTCCCCTGGGCCTCCAAGTAAGGTACTGATAACTCTACTTATAACCTACTTACTAAGTCTCCTGGGCCTCCAAGTAGACTCTCCAAGCCCGACTGAGCCCGAAAAACCATGAATCCCAAACCCCGAAACATATAGCAGAAACCCATGTATCTTATAGGCTTACCCCCAAAAAACCCGAAACCATAAACCCCTAAAGTATCTTATAGGAGTCCTGAAAGGCACCCGCTACCCTAACAAAAACCCTAAATCCCTAATACCGGTGACCGCGTCCGGGACCTAAAACCCCTAAACCCCTCAACCCCTAACCCCTAAACCCGTAAACCCCTAAACCCCTCAACCCCTAAACCCCTAAAGCCCTAAATGGGGGCGCCTTCGGCGCCTGTGGGCGTCGGTGCACGGCTGGATGCGGCGCTGGCCGAAGCACCTCGCCGCCCGAACCCCGGGGGTTTTCAGGAGTATACCTTAAATCAGAATAATAAGCCCCGTAATTGAGGAATATAGCCTAAACCATAATAATAGTAAGGCCCTTAATTAGGGAATGGGCCTCAAATCATAATAATAAGACCCTTATAGCTTAAGGTATATTGCTTAATTAAAGGGTATTGGGCTCTCTATAAGTATAGTTATCCTACTTATAACCCTACTTATGACTACCCATGAACCTCCAAGTAGGTGCTTCGGGCGTAGGCTTTTAGGGGTTAGGGAGTTTACGGAATGCCAATCAAGAGGCTTAGAAGCCAGCACTTTCGCTTATGAAAATCGGTGGGATGATTCAAGGAATAATCCTAAACCCTAAAACCCTAAAACCCTAAAGCCCTCAAACCCTAAAGCCCTAAAGCCCTAAAGCCTAAAGCCTAAAGCCTAAACCCAAAGTTCAGGTGCCGCGGGCTCCAATTGGGTTGGAAGCTCAAGTTGAACTAGAAGCAGGGTGGCGCAGTTGCGAACGCCTCGGTTCGGGTTACGCATTTCTCTAAACTCTGCTTACCTCCTGAAGTCCACCAGCCCAGCCCTAAATAACCCACACACCCTCCCTAAACCCAGAACCCCAAACCCTAAACTTTCTCAACTCCAAAACCCTAACCCCTGACTTTAAACCCTTGAAGCTTACAGTGTCAGGTCACCCTCCGTTGTGGTAGTATCAGACAGTCCCTAAACCCTACTTGGAGGTTCATGGGTAGTTATAAGTAGGGTTCTAAGTAGGGTAGCTATACTTATAATTATAATCCTACTTAGGGGACTTATAACCCCACTTATAACTGTTCATGAACCTCTAAGTAAACCCTAAACTGGTATCAGACACCATGTGCTCTTGGGAGATAGAAAGGGGGTTTCTTGAACTCATGGGTCCCTGTAGGGTTTAGGGGTCCCGGTAGTAAGGATCCTGTTAAATGGAACTTCCGCATATTATCACCACGCGGATCTAAAAATGTGGACTGAGAAAGAAGAACTTTAAGACTCTAGTGCTTCTTGGGGACCCTAGGGCAATGAGTAATTCTAACCTATAGTAACCCCCCCCCCTCCCCCCCCAAAAAAAACACCCACCAATGCTCCATTGAGCCCCATGCACACTCACAAAACTGATGATGCAAACGCCCATCATAAAACCCTCCCAGCCCTAAACCCTCAAGACGGAAAGACATAGAACTTATGCTTCTTGACAACCAGCTTTGTCAGTCCAGTCCAGTCCAGTCCAGCCGTCCAGCAGCACTGAAAGACTCAAAGTAAACCCGATGTCATATAACCCACTATAATGCCCGCGCCCTCTATAGAACAACTTATTAAAAAAAAACCCTACAACGCCGTCAGACCCCACTTTGCCTTTGGAGGCATAGCGTGCCGTCCGTGCACTGTGCTGGTGCTCCTGAGCTTTTAGGATGTTTCATGAGGGTTTAAGGTTCAAGGGGTTTCAGAATAATCTGAACTCTAAGGCAACTGCATTTTTACGGCTTCTAATGTTGACTTCCTCATACAAGTCCCTTACAAGGCAGATTCTGAAAGGCGGTATAATACCGGGGCCTTAAAAGCCTTAAAACTTGAACAGTGTTCTTTGGGAGGGTTTGAAGGTTCTACAATTTGACGGGCTTCATAATCGCTCGAAGAGGATTCGACGTGCAATGCAGGGGGCATGTAATTCGAACAGAGTTCAGTTTTCTTTCGTAGGCTTATAAATGGGACTACAGGGATATCACTACGAGGTACTTGATTTCTGTATTGCCGAATCTACGGCCCCTTCTATTAATTAAGGAACCTTTCATGGAATCTTTCGTTTACGGTGCAATATTAGAGCTCCCCAGTTCTGAGATTCCCGCTTCTTCGTGCCCATCATCTCAAATCAATGAAGGTTGAGGGTGCAAGGGTTGGGTGATGGCTTGGGGGTTCAAGGTGTAGTCAGCTGGGCTTAGGCCAGCTATTTTCAATGCCAGCGGGGGCTTTCGGTGGCTTGATCTTGGGGAGGCATACCTCCAAACCTCAAAGCTTGGCACCTCAATCCTTGGCCCTTCACAGCGTAAAAGATTCGCCGGCTCGGCTGCAGTGACTGCGAAGCATTTGGGAGTTTCCGAAAATTAGGGTACCCTATTTTGGGGTTCTTAGAATAAGGATCCGATTCTTTAGGGTACTGTACCAGGGTTCCCTATTTCGGAACCCCCCCCCATATTGCAACACTAGGTAAGGACAGCAACAATAACAAGAAACGTAACAGACAGAGAAATACGAATAATAATCACAACCACTGTCTTTCTTCACAGCCAGCGCAGCTAGAAAAAGCTGGACGCCCCAAGCAAGAAGCAAACCCTGTAAGATCCTACAGAACTTTGTGAAAGCACCCTAAACCCTAAACCCTAAACCCCAAACCCCAAACCCTACACCCTAAACCATGAACCCTATAAAACCC